TGGGGTCTTCCTGCGCAGGTTCGAACCCTACCGACTTGGTTTTTATTATGACAAAATCATTCCACTCTACGATCCAGACAAGCAACGTATTTTGTGCCCGATAACCGTTTTGTTTTTACTTCTCACCACATAGCACAGCATTCGAAAATATCTATTGCTTAAAGAAATCTTACGTCATTTAAATATAGTGCAACTACAACGATTTCTCTACCATTATGATGGCAATATTATTATTATTTAACATCTTAGCTCTTTTTCTATTAAAAAACAACTGGAATTTCATTAAGCGATAACACGTCTTAGCACCCGTAGCAGCGAACGTAGCCATATTCAAGAATGATTTGACTGACTCACTCTGTACCAATGCCGAAGCTCTCTGCTGCAAAAGACGTTGTCACACCGCCCTTTAGCTCATCGTCGCCACGGTCTTTTTTTGCCGAACTCGCTTCTAGCAACAGCAATAACATTGAGAGTCATCAAACTTCGATGGTACACAGCTTCTGCTCGCTCCGCCAGTTAACCCTTACCACTTCTGCCTTTTCTATTGCTTGATAGCAAGTCCAAGAGCCTCTGTTTTCTGCTTGATTCCGTTCGCCGCAACGTCACCTTTTGCCATCAATTTGATTCGCTCATCCCGAAATTAGCGTACGCCATCATATCGCCAACGTTTCTCATTGTTGAGAACATACGTGACGGATACGAGGTGAGGGGAAAGGCTCATCTTGAAATAAAGTCACTTAGCGATTTGAGAGTTTCCACCTTGCCAGAGTATACGTACATTGCACAGCGTAGGTTGAATATGAGTACAGGATACAATATATTCTAGGTAAGTGTTAAACGATTAAGAGACTTTTGTCTTACCCTCTCACTGTATACATATCTACAACTAGTGCTACTACCGGATCGAAAGTCCGATCGTCAAGACACAGCGCGTTAAGGGCATTCTTTTATAATCATCACGGTAGTCGTTTGCCGATGCTGTTTGAGCTCGCCGGATCATTCGCACTCCTAACGACATACACCTTCAATAGCCGTAGACATATTGGCCAAAGTGGCAAGAGCATGGCAGAGACACCCAGCGCTACTGCACGGTGGTCCCATGCGATAAGCTAGACGGGTTGTCTGATTGCCGTTGCCTCTCTTTCTCTCGTTTGCTCGTGCTATGTTAGTTTCCAACAGCAACGGCAGCTGGCGGAACGGAAAAGAGTGAAGGACGCTGTTGTCGCGATTGGCCCCAAGCGTCAAACGCCTTACCATCGCCACCCGTAAGAGCAGCAGCATCATCAAAGACACACAAATAGGGAGACGAGCGGGAATGCATGACAAGAGATCTCAGACAGCAGTACGGCACGGAAAAAATGCGGCTCATAAAGCTGCCGCTGCTTCTGCCGTAAAAATTGTGTCCATTCACAATTTTTGTTGGGGTTGGATGTCTATTGATATTAGACAGTTCACGCTGCCGCAACTGACAACGAATGCAATCCAACTTACTGAGTGTGGAGCAATTAACTCAAGCGCGAAAGAAGGGGAACACTGAACGCCAGCAGACGCGCATGCGGAGCAAGAGCAGCGCAACGCTGTTTGCAATCGTGACACCAACAACGATACTAATAATGCCTGCGAACACGACGACGACGACAACAGCACCAGTAAGACTATACTGTCACAGGTAATAGGCTCGATATTACGATGCGCAACTGTAGAAGAGTGTTAGGGAACCGAAACAAGGCTTTCCTTTACGATCCAGCCTAAAACATAAACACAAGAGGGTATATGATGTGAGGAAAATTGTAAATAAACAACAACAAAGTAGGTAAAAAAAATGTGAGGAAGCATTAAACTGCTGTCATTGGAACGACGTTGAGAAAGCAGCCGTTTCTAAGCGAACATACACCCGAAATCAGACAAGACAACTAGGCGATTATATAAGAACATTCAGGCATATTTATCTTTGCTATACTACGCGTAATCATATTTAAATGACATGAATATTTAAATAACTTGAACAGATCAGCACGAATAAACACGTTTCAGGCAAGGTCGACCAGTTCGGCCTCGACAGGCGTGAATGTTCAAAAAAAAAAAAAGATTTACCGAGGAATTCCTTTCTGTACGGAACAATATATGATCATTCTGTAGAGTTATTGGCATTGTATTATGCAAATGTTATTATTTGGTGATACGACATATTACACTTTAAAGGAATAGCAGTGCCTATGACAAGTTTAGAGGCAGAGCCGTTGAAGCTTACAAAAACAATGCAAGAGCTAAGTAGAGTCCCAAAAAATCGCCAAGATTTAGTCATACTTATTATGTACTCATCTCATCTACAATTGCATCAAGCAGTTGTGGCCGAGTGGTTAAGGCGTCGGACTTGAAATCCAATGGGGTCTCCCCGCGCAGGTTCGAACCCTGCCGACTGCGATTTTTCATTGTGACAAAATCATTCCAATATACGATACACACGACCAACATAATTCACCTTCAGATCGTTTGTCCCTATCGGCGTTTCTCACGATACTGCATAGCATTAGAGAATGTATTGCCAAAAGAAATTCTATTCGACTCGCAACTACAACGACGTCTCTAACATTGTGATGATGATATTATTATTATTATTATCCAATTAGCTATTCTCCTATTAAAAAAACAACTGGAATTTCATTAAGGGGTGGTACGTCCCGAAGCAGCGGACGCAGCTATAACCAAAAATGACTCCGAGTCACTCTGTATCAGTGCCGAAGCTCTTTGCTGCAAAAGGCATTGTCACATCGCCTTTCAGCTCATCGTCGCCCCACGGTCTTTTTTCACCGAACTCACTTCTAGCCACAGCAATAACATCGGGAGTCATCAAAACTTCGATAGTACACGTCCACTGCTCGCTCTTCCAGTTAACCCTTACCATTTCTACCTCTTCTGTTTTTTGACAGCAACAATCTGTTTTCTTCCTAATTTTGTTCAACGCTACGTCACCTTCTGCCATCAATTTTGCTCGCGCGTCCCATAGCAACGCATGCAGTCATCTCATCAGTATTTGTCTCTATTCAGAGTATGCGGTGCGAAGTGAACGAAGCAGTTGTGGGCGAGTGGTTAAGGCGCTGGAGTAGAAATGCAATAGAGCCACCTCGTGCAAGTTCGAATCTTGCCGAGTGCGATTTCTACGGTTATTTTTGCTTTTTTAGTGTCTCCATTATAATAAAATCATTCGAACAATGTTATATATAACTCGTTCTTACAGAGAATCGTTCTTTTGCGACACTATTGAAAACGACATCCTAAGTAACGATAAACTTATGAGTCAATATGCCCTTCCATCATATAATTTTCTGAGACCAACTTGATCACAACAAACGAGTCACCCTGGTATGTGCGCGAGATCATCCACCGATGTCTGTGGTTAATTGGCTTATTCAGGAAGCCTGATAAGCAGACGTCACCTTTACTGATCATCGATCTCTATAGTGTTCCCCTTCGACCATGTATTCTATTCTCGCTAATGAGCGTATTTACCATAGTAGTCGTCTGAAGTTAGCCTAGGTTGTTTCTTGCAGGATTACATTGCGATATGCTTATGTAAACATATCTGCAGACACAAACAGAGAAGCATTATATAAAAATTGAACAATAGCAGTAGGATCAGCCAATACTTTTAAATCTATTATGCCAAAGACTAATTAAGCTACCGATATCAGCAATAATTAGGTTACTAATAGGAGTAGTAGGAAAAAAAACAGACCGCAAACGCAACCGTAGTAGATTGTATTTCGATATTAATCTTTAGGAAACTACAGCTGAAACTTGCCATTGGTGTTGCTGTGCCAAGTTTTTCCCTGACGACTTGGGCACGTTAGAGCATCGCATTCGGCTGCTTGATTTCCTCATCGTGTTTAATGAATGGCAATAGAGCGGCGCACTCCACACACTTTTTTTTGAAGTAGAATAAACTGTAGAAGCTCTTCTCTCCGAGGTTTTACCATCTCCATTCATAGAAGCGCTTCGTGAAACATCGGTAGACTGACTTCACTTGAACCCATTCCATACTCGAAATCATGCAACTCTACAGAATTTGACACAAGAGCTTGTCACCAATGCGCAATGTCAAAATAAATGTGTCACACACTGTTGAGGCGTTGCTTGCCACTTGTACAGTCAAGCATTTTTAGCCAACGACAGTTTCAATAGGGCTACACAATTTGACATAAGTAGAAACGCCTCGTACGGAGCGGTAACCTGTACTGCTCGATACAATTCCCGTAGTCAATTTGAAACCTATGAAAAAGATACCTCATCTGTGAACGGGAGCTAACCGAAAGCCAGATGGATTATGAAATATTTGGCCAATTCCTATGCGTAACTCTTTCCAGTCGCAGCCGTGGGGTACTGCTAAGTTACAGTGTAAATCGGACCGAGATGCTAACAAAAGTATTAGCTCTAATTCTAATTCTGTACCATTCCAGCTGATGTATAAACTCACTAACCTGGTGTTTCGCTAAGACTCGCTGCGACCTGCTGGAGTTGGACTACGATGATAGAAGACGAAGTAGGTACACTTCACTCTCGGATGGAGACCTCAGAAGCGCGAGTGGGCACAACGAGCCCTCCCCGCCATCATCTGTTCAACAACATTCACCCGTTCTGACATCGCCACATACACTGGCCAATAACATTTGCGTTCCAACTGACCGAGATCTGCTTGGCTAGATACGGCGGTTAAGCATGCAAATGGGCACTGCGTGAAGCAGTGGTCCCAAAATTCAAATGTCTGTCAAAAACGTCGAAGTTAAAAAAGAGAATTTATTGTTTTGCTTAAACGTAAACGAACTCACAAATACTGTGACGAGTTAGGTGTTTTTAATGGGGGTGTGTATAATATATCTGCGTTGTCGTTCATGTATAACTTGACAAATTAGTTATAGATAGCTGGCTCACATCTTAGCACCTATGAGACATCTAGTCAAATGGTGAGACGATGCAATAAAACAGATCTGTTATCCGTTTGGCAACCGTCTTTTCGTGATCAATGTAACATGTTTTTATCCATATTTGCCCTCATGGATCACTATGATTCTAGCGCATCTATCTAATCGTAGAATTACAAACATCGATGCATTGTGTTCATGAATATATGCTTCTAAACTGACCGACACCAACGGTAAAGCGCCCGGAACCCTGCTCTGCTAGTAGGCCGAATCATTCTTTCTATTTGGCAGAGCCGTCATCATTCTTCGTGATTCATTCTGGAATAGCTGGCCGTATCGGTAACTTTTCGATGCATTAATGAACCTGTGTAATAGTAACATCGATAAGTGCTGCTTCGCGTAATTGTCCGTTAACACCGAGAAAAAGGACCAACTCGAAGCTCTCCATCACTGAACGGTAAGTGGACAGTCTCAGGATAAATTTTAGCCAAAAACCTACGTTTCGCCATTTTCCGACTACCACATTCCGGTTTGGAAACAAAGCGAGGTCGCCACAGGAACTCTAATTTGGAGCAACAGCGGTGCGGCAGAGTGGGCGTGACAGCGGTAGGTCGGCTTTTCGTGGCCACTGAACTACTCAAAACGTTCTCGGGAGCAAACGCGTCCTCGTAAGCCGAGTTGTCAACTTCGGATAAATTTCCCGCATGGGTTTGCTATGCGGTTGAAGTATGTTTTGTAACGAAAAATTTAGCCAGGCTTTTCGGCGAATCTTGATGGCCGAGTTCAGATTGGCCTTTATTTTATTTCTAATTTATACCTAAATGACACAGATTGCTATAGAAATTTGTGTGTCTGTGAGATCGTGTACATTGCCTGGTTTGATATTTCGCCGGCCGTTAGACGAGAATAAACGAGATTTTCGTATATGTGCCAGGTATCCGAGTCGATTGTGGTCGTCACTGACTACGGCCTTATGGATACAGAACGTATTTTGGTGAAGGGACACAGCTGTTTCCGAAAAACAGGTCTTAACCCAAACTATATTTATAATTAGGTTTAGTAAGATTCGGATTCCCGGCGAATGCAATCACAACACCAAAACTCAATGGGTGTGGTCATGAGATAAGATCTACTTTTCTTTTTCCACTGTACGGCAAAAGAGTTGTTCTGTTACCGATTAAACCGTTTAAATGGTTGGAACAAAAAAAGGTTTTACAATATACTTGTAGCGCTTGGGCAAGCTTACGGTGGATTTTTGAAATCTCCGTTAGTAATTAACGTCACCAATGACGTGAGCGGCGTCGTGTTCGTTACAGTATTGTGTTAAGTAAGTAAATGGCAGTTTATCTTAAGGCACCATCATCGTTGAGCGCTACAACCTAAATGGGTGGTTTCAGCAAATGAGCTATCAGCCGGTATATGCTTTGTACCCTGAGAGGTAAGCTACATACTGCAATTGATCTCTAGCTGAGACCCACCCCAGCTGGGCTTTAGCCTTTAGTGAAGATAAGTTTAAAATGTACAACATGTGTATGTGAAGTGTCGTACTTTTTTTGCTAGACATTTCGTTCTACCTAAATTCAAATTGCTTCTTAAGTTTTTTTGAAACTGAAACGAGATGAAATCGTTGCGCACGAAAATGTATTGTTTTCTTGCGGGTAAAATATATTATTGAAAACTGAGATCGATAATCAAAACGTAACGATAACTGCATTCAGAAGCCAAATCGGTCAAAACGATTAGCTGCACACGGGCTAGCGTTTCAATTGATAACCAGCTTTACGAAACAACAAGAAGATCGACATATTGATTCTCACGCAAATTATTTGTTAAATGTAAATTCAATCTATAGACACATGTGGAGTGCTTACGGTGCAAAATTATATCATCGGTGTGTGTATATACAATAACGAGACGAGGCGTCAGTTCATGAAACCCCTTTCCTCAGTTACATAAGCGGTCTATTTGTACACGAAGCATAATGATAGAATAAAGTTTAAATGCACGCCACTTCAGTGAGTACAATTGAATCGTCTGTGAATAAATGAATGAATAAAAATTCATTTTTATTAGCTGTTTGTTAACAGCTAACTAAAAAATTGCTTTTACGTTCATTTGTGCTGCAAATGCTGCTAGCATTAATACTCCTACTGGAATCAATTGGCGTTACGTAGTTGTCAGTGTGTTTCTATGTATATATATGAGAAAGAGAGAAAGAACCGAAATGAACGACGGTCGTCTGAGAAGCGAATCGATTTTCGGATTGCTTCAATCTCCAGACGACTAACAGGGCGCGACCGCGTCCGCGTGTATGCACTTTTTCAACGAAATCTGGAAGGTCTCAACAAATATGTGTGAAGACTGTATTAAAAGTTCGCAATGATTGTTTAGTTCGGCAACACTGCACAGTCCATTGGATTGGACTAAATCAGGCTATTTCTATGATACGCTGCGGTGTCTGTTTCTGCGGATTCGCGAATATGGTGTAGCGATACAACTTCTTGCCGTTCTGTCCTGTACCGTTACTTCGTTACAGTTGTCACTGGTAAAGCTGGCTGAAGTGGCTGAAAACGACGAGTATGACGTTGCCATGAACATCAGCGACGGGTACAGCAATGGTGGATACAGCTACGGCGATGACAGTGAAACGTGCAGGACGTTTACTGCGGCACCGGGCTGTTTAATCATAGCTTGTTTATTTGCCTGGTAACAGGACTGCGACGTGGAGCGATGACTGACAACAGAGCAACTTCTGCCTCTTGTTGTGACGACGAAGTCTGTTGGAATATTTGGCTGTGTGAAACTGCCCAAAGCAGAAACGAGCTGCCATTGACTTGTATGACGATATTCGTCTCAGACTTAACCAAACGATAGTTTGGCAAGGTGAATATTGGTCGGAGCGTTTCCTAAATGCGAGTTGTCGCGGCCACGCGGAGATGGGGGGGGGGGGTCGCGATATGCCGCCGGCGTTAGCTTCTAAAACGATCACCGCGTAACTGTAAAATGAGTTCCGCAGAGAATCATTCAACACGAGGCAAGTCAACTCGTCAAATAACATTAACAATAGCAGTAAAAGAAATCAGCGACGAATGCAGCTAAGGTCGCTTCGTAGAGGAACTGTGTAGAAATAAGGCTTCAGACTGCAAAACGATGTAGGAGAAGGGTCAGCAATAAATTTCTCCTTTCAAGACTAGATGCATCTTCAATTTTTCACCACTTAAATCTTTGTATGATTTCTACCACGTTTAAATGATTGAAACCTACTAGATCTTTTAGGAAGATACGATTAGGCGTCAAAGGATTTTCTCACCGAGGCTGCGAAGCATATGGTCTTATTTCAGTAATTTCGATTTGTGTGTACACCGAGAGGTATACGTGTAGTGTAGTACATAATATTTCTCTTAGATTAATTCGCCAATTATAGAAACCGACGCGTTATACTGCGCTCATAATTGTTGAACAGTACTCAAGCAAAGGCGTATAAATGGGCGTGAAACCCTTACAGGGTTCGACGTAGCATATGACTAATTACAAATAAAAAAAAATCAAATACATGACTATAGGTAGCGAGAGTCGGATCGTCAGTTTCGAAAAGTCGAAGCGCATTTGATGCGTTCTATAACAGTTTGGTTAGTACATCTTAGTAGTAGCGGTACATCTTCGCTATGTTTATCGAACCTGTGTCTAAAATAAAGATTTTCATATTTCGTCTTTTTATATTCAAATATTTCAGTTTTATTATATAACAGAATAAATTGAAATTGTATTTTACTGATGTGACCTAGTGGTCGTTGTAGAGGGAAATCAATACTATTAAGTCTGACCCTAGCAAGGATAGTCGCTCAGGTCAGTGCAAAAGAATTATTTAGAAAATCAAATGGCGTGCCGCCTTAGTTAAACGCAACTTTTTCTTTGTACGGTAGAAACAAGTAGCCCATGTTCAATTGATGAGCGAAGATTAACTGTTACTGAGTACTTTTATGCCGGACAAACTCCTACCAACACTGTGAACTGCCCAAAATCTAGCTACTCGAAATCGTCGGTTTACAGCATTATTCCTGAGTGCACGACCGCTGAAAACAATGCAACGAACGAACCCTCACCTCCAATAAATGAAAAAATGTCATTGCATTTTTTGATTATCGCCGTCTTTGGATACGTCGCGGCAAGTAAAATGACTGTAATCGTTTCCGAAGACTTTGCTACACATCGTATGGCACAAAATCAAGCATAAACGTTCTGAGAACATTAATGTCAAAAGATATGATTGGTGCATCTGGTACCTAAATACTTCGAAGTAAAAAAGAGCAGACCGTCTTCGATTCTTTCACGGTGAAAAATTTACACTATAAATACAAGACTCAATCTCAAAAATCGCCGCGATTAAGAGAGGGTTCCCATAATATGTAAGACTAAATTCTCAGCCAGTATTCATTTACTGAGGCTTGTTTCGTAACCAAAACCCGATACCTTTTTCAATTGCCGTGTACTGTGATCCGGATGCTCTAGAAACTGTCGCGAAGACTGTGGACAGTTATCGCGTCGAATAATTGGCCATATGTCCTTCAAAAAGCAATGCATCCGCTCACATGAACATATCAGTGCAGGGCTGGCTGGCTAAACCTGCACAGCCAAGCAGATTTCAATTCATTAGATCAAACAGGTTTGTGAATGCCGTAAATTACAAATTGAACCCGCGATAAAGTAGCTTCATGAACTAAATAAACACGCTATGTCAAGGATGTCTCTGCGGCCATATGCAAATAAATCCATTCAGATATTCGCCTCTATTTTAATACCGTTTATAAACAAAACAAACAATTTTCGTCCCACTTTACCCCAACCACTCTGTGCATATGACACACATATATATATATATATATAGTAACATGGTTACCAAGGTCACAATTATCTGATGTTCTGACCCCACATAGCGTTTCTATGATTAGCGTTTGATTTGAATATGGTCGGATAGATAAACCCTCCATATACGAAATAGACGCCAATGCCATATAGAAATGGCATTGGCGTATTTCGTATGTAAAATAGGTTAAAAAGCCGGCAACGTTGCAATGCTTAATATGCGTACGTATTAGAGATGTCAACTTCGATCGTGTCTACCTAGCACGGAGTGTAAAGCTCAAAGAGCTATGCCCTATAGGTTCTATATCGTCTCAATAGAATACTACAACCGTAGAAATTTGCAAATAGTAAATAGTTCTATGTTCAATGTATATTCAAAGTTCATGCAGAACCGTTTACGAGATGACAGATTATCGATTGAACGGTGAATCTTTTAAAAATGTTCTCTCATTAATTAATTTCTGTCTACAATAAATGTTGGTTAGAAGCTCTTCTTCATTGCCGATATGATGTTTTGATTGTTATTATCATGCTGTATTTTTTGGTAATAATGTCCCACCATTAAATCGGCAGGTTAGACCAGATCGTTGTTGTTGTTGAGTGGTGTGTATTTGATGCGGCCTTAATGCGTTTCGTGTTTACAATCTGATCCGATATATGGATTAGATGTTGGCAGACCGCATTTTACACCACTAACGTTCACCGCGAATCAAAAACAATTATATTCAAAAGCTGTCGGAATTTCCTCAGCGCGACCCGTTTCCAACGGTGAGTTCCATTAACTGGTAGCGCCGCCTGCCGCTTAGTTACTTACTGAACGCACCCCTGTCATAGGAGTTTATCTACGTTTCTTTACGTCATAAGTTTCTATTGTTAAAGTACAAATGATATTTTGCGTTGTGACAAAAACGATGAAGAAGCATAAACGCCAATTCGGCTACTGTTTTCGGAGACAATGTAGCGATGTTACTTAATGCTATGGTCATTAAAGTAGGTATCCTTGCCGTCACGGTGGCAATGGTTAAGATGTCATCATACGATTATATCGCTTGTAAATATATATAGGCGTATAATCGATAAAAACTACATTGGTCGCAAATACATTATACAGCACATATCTGGTATAGACAAAATACGCGCCTACAAGCGGCCCGTAACGTTTCATATTGAACCAAAATTGGGAGTACCTGAATAAAGCGGATTCTTGATATCCTTTAATGCACGCGCTGGGCAGCTTTCCAGTAGTTGTTGTCGAAGTGGCGATGTCTATCTCGGGCCGCTGCTCAACCAGCAAGAAGCGGTTGGAATCGATCGCCTATGTATATTATTGCGGCTTGTTTCTGCTTGTTAATAATTAGCGAAGCTGAAAAATATTTGAAATTATGTAAATACATATGTATAGAAACAGGGATATAAGTGTGTTGAATAGCGCAAATTCAGCTTGACATTCGTGTTGAATTTTTCATAATTTCATATCGAGGCATTGCGATTCGGTTTGCTAGCATTTTCGTTAGCGTGCTGCTCTATGTTCATATTCTTAATATGTGCTGGTGAATATGTCCAGGGTAGAAATTATAACCCGCACTGAATTTATAGTGACTGAAATATATAATGCATGTAAAATTATATGAAAAGTGTTAGCGTGTCTCGGTGATCGAGCAGTAGATGAATAGGGTCTAACGATTTTCTAAAGATTTCCCAATAATGACCCTGTATCAATGTGCCTACGCATAAGCGGGTGCTTCTCGAAGTTACGATGAGCACCGCCCTAATAAATAGAATTGTCGATGCGCGTGCCTTTCCCCGATCCGTCACGTTCAGTATTCGTATGAACGCTCCACTGAACCCCTGATTTTATTTCGTATCTCCATTTTTTTATAATACACCATCAGCCAATTAAGCACTTCTTCTCGGCTTCAACAATTAATCTATCTAATCATCCTGTTGTCTACAATTTGCAAAACACTTCACAATTATGCAGGTAAATGTTCCGCCTATGAGGCGCGGGGCGTAAGAGGAACGGATATAAAACTGGGGAGTCCGCATCTGTAAAAGTTAAATTAGGCGAACCTTTAATAAACACACGCCGGACCTTTACGGTTCAGTTATAAGAATGTAAAAAGCCTTCTGCATTTTAAGATGGCTTCAAGATTTAAAGTTGGTTACCCCACTATTACTGAGATATGAATGGGATACGAATAAGGCAAATAAAAATTATGAAAATTTTATAGAGTATCTGGTGTTATTTAAAACACCGTTCGGATAAAACAGTCCAACAATGTTGAGATAAATTACCTATAAGTGTCATTTCAATAAGAATCATTTCATGTGCATGCAGGTTTAACAGTCAATTTGAAATAGTATTTATACTGTGATATTGTTGCCTTACCAGAGTAGAAAAATGTTAACGGCCCAGTACAATCTTATCGTAACCCTACTGTGTTAACTAGACGTTATACCAATAAAATAATCTAATTTATAGCAGTCTGTAGAATAGCTCCATAAACTTAAAATTTCGTGACTTTATGAAATTGCGCTGTTTTCTTGTGTTTTTCGTAGAATATGGAGGTGGAAAAGATGTCTTCCGAGTTTGTGAGGCTCACGGTAACGACCGAAGGTTCCGATCTTGGATGCGAGCGGGCTTTCAATCGTAACATCACCGTAGGCGAGCTAAAACAGCGGCTAGAATTGTTAACTGGTGCTGCCTACAATCGCATGAAGCTAGAGCTACGTAACAAAGAATCACCTAACCAACTGCTAGAAGCACTTAATGAAGATGATAGAAAAATCGGTGACTACCCCGCGATGGACACTGGCCTGCTTCTCAAAGTGATCGATCCCTCTATGGGCATTTTTGACGAAGTGGACGCGGTTGAAAAGATGAAAATTTCAGAAGATAGATATGCCCAAGTGAATAACGTTCGAAGTTTTATGCAACAACATGGTTTAGGACGGTTTTCGAATAAGACGGTTAACGAATCAAACAAGACGGATAAGGAAAATTTAAAGGGTAAACGTTGTATCTAGAAAATATGTATTACTAGTGAAATTAGGCCGAACTTCGCCGATGCGTCCATATCGGTGATGCACAATTGAATATTTTATACTAGTTCTATAATGCGGTAGTTAGTAGTAGCAAATAGTTGATTCGCTAGTAATGACGATATTATTAGTCGCATAACTCACACCTAACCAATTGGCGTTTGTTTTTCTTGTGATTTTTATTTCGCTAGAAATCGAGGTCGGAAAGCGCTGTGAGGTACGTACTAAAGGAACCCCTGCTCGTCGCGGAGAAGTCAAGTACATTGGAGAGATTTGTCTGAAACCCGGTGTGACCTTTATCGGAGTCTGCCTTGATGAACCATTGGGAAAGAACGATGGTACTGCGGGTGAGGTGCGATATTTCAAATGCGAACCTAAGCATGGCGTCTTTGTAAGACCGGCTGACATTGAGGTGGGCAATTTCCCGGAAATATCGCTCGAGGACGAACTGGACGAAATCTGATTTTAACCGGCCTCGTCGACCGCGATGCCAACAACTGCTGAATCCAACGTCTAGAAATCGGCTTCAGCCCCAGATAGCGCAGTGGAGTTCTTAATTTAGAAAGGATTGATGCATCGATTCGAAAACGGATCTAACCAATAATTAACACTTCGAACCTAGGAGTTAAGCGAAGCGAACAGTCATCCTTAATGATGTAATATAAGTTCAAATTAAATTCAACCCTTAAAGAGAGTCAATTTAATTCAGTAACGACTGAAGGCTTTAAACTGATTTTAGTTCAGGCGGGCATTAGGTTAAGTAAAATATCAACAAGAGGGAATCTTATACCATTGGAAAATTATTAGAGGATAAAGAAATATGAAGGTCAACTCAATGTTCACACTTTCTTATACTGCCTGTCGGATACTGCAGTGGGCACGCAGTCGCTTGGCAACATAAAAGAATAGTCGAATATGCATCACCTGTGATTCTATAAAATTGAATTTAAGATGTTTTGCGATTCTTCTCTGTCTAGTTTTGCCAGACCGTCATCGCACCGGCCAATGGCAAAAGATCTAAGAAATAGAAAAATGACATATATTTATGACACAAATTCTCCACATTTTGCATTGGGATAACCTTCGATGACGACAGCATCAACAACAGTGGACTGCCCCATTTGAGCCGCGGGGAAAACAAACAAGCAAAAGTATTAAAACGAAATAAAACTAGTTAAAGATGGGAAAATTAATTATTTAAAAAGCACTAGAGCATAATAGAGGCATGTGACTTATTTATTTTTGCACCTATGGACTAAGCAAGCTGAATACCATGGTGACGAGCCTATCAGCAAGATAATGATGATAATAGCACCTTCAACAACATGCTTTAAAACACATATCTACACAATGTGTTACTCGGCAGAGACAGAAAAAAAGGGACTTTCGGCAAAATGCTTCCGAAAAACGAATTGTTCTTGCAATGCAGATGCAATGTGTTGCAAATACGGAAAATTATTTTGCGTCAACTCAGTTTCGAGGGCAAATGGGTAAGTACCGTCGACACGTGATACTTCGAACGCTTTCTAATAAAACGGAAAAATAAGATATTAAACAGACCGTTTGTACTTATTTTTTCATCGTTATAGATAGAAATTATTACTTTATGAAACGGAACGAGAAAGATAATCTTTGGAATCGAACGCAAACAAGTTACTTGAACAAGGTAGTTGAACTTGTCTATTTGAATCGTGAAATCCAATACATGTACATATTAAAATTAGGTCTTCGGTTTATTTCATAATTATAATAACCATAATTATTATCAGCTATTAGCGGTATTTATGTAATCAAAAGATAATGTGTGTTACAATTAAATTGTGGTAAGAGCATCGAACTGATTTGGCTAGGGAAAACTTTGTTTAATTTGACGACCGGTAAAATAGATTTCTATTATATATATATGTGTAGAAGGAGCGGGTTTTTATCTTTGGTTATTCGATCGACTGATTAGTTGGTTAAAATCCAGTTTATAGGTTTGAGATCTTTAGTGAATTCTTGAGCAAGGAACAAGGCATGTATAATCAAGACATAATCATTCAGGTCTAAGTGAGAACAATGCTTGCCAGTTTCGCAATTATACAAATGTTGTTATCAATCAATTCAGCTAGTTGAACGCTTGTTGGCTCATTGTGTATCAAGCTGCTATTTGTAATGACTACTCGCACGACATACCTAATTTTCGAGACGCAGAGAAACCTGTGTTTTCAATGTGCGTTCAACCTATGCCGTCATTGATTTGATAAAAAAAAAAAACCTGTGCGTGGCAATTCTAATTGCTAGGGGACCGCTGAAGGTTCGGCAGGCTATGACAACTGTTGTACTCAGTTTTACCCCTTAATGTGGACTATTGAATTTAATAAGCAAATGCAAAATTTGCCATCACATACGAGTAGACTGTATTCAACCTTGGTATTTAACATATTCAGTGGGAGCTACCATAAACGAGCTAAAAGAGTGGTTTTCCAACCTCCAAACTACAACATGCACTGCAAAGGATCGCTTAACTAAGCAGTGTATGGGACCGAATTCTATGAGATTTTGCTAGTATATATCCGCTAAGAAACAGCTCAGAACTCACTTGAGACTCATTTGCAACTGATTGCGTCCGTATCGAATAATAGTAACCACCAATCAGGTCAAGTTCCTAATGAAATTATTAAGGATCCCTCAGGCAATTATATACCAAACACTCCGATTAGTCAATCTTGGCTATTCAATAAGCCATCAATGATTTAAGCAGATTTTTCTAATTTGAATTTTTTTACAAGAGTCTTATACGATAGAATTCCAGTCTTATATTTAAAGCAATTACCATCGTTTAAAAAGAAAAGCGGTTTTCCTAATACAGTCAAATAATGACTTGCCCAGCTTAATCTTAAGGAGCAAATATTTGCGTCCCTTATTAGGCACCTTCAATAGTGAGCAATGTTTGAATTTTTCTTGAGCTACACTTGCGTATTAAGTCACATTTATTGGTTTTTTTTTTTGACATTCTTTCAATATTTGCCACAACCTTACAACCATAAAAACTAGCGTTTCCTTCAATAATTGTTTTTGTTTTGCTGCTTTAAGTATACTAATTTTATTCCCTTACTATATAACGTTGATTTAATGCTAAGAATTTTATTGCGTGCTATGCTACTAAGCCTCTAGAGATCAGTTCATAGGCTGACCACTGATTTTACTCAAATAGCTTCTATCTGCTAAGGGATGCAATACCATAATTTCCATTTCTCTCTAGAATTCTGATTTCATTTTTTCTCTATAACTGACTGACTTTTAGCATTTAGGTTGTATAGAGCAACTTTAAATATTCTTGATAATGACAAAAGTACCAACAAGCCTCAGACATTCTTTACTTCTATTTTATGTTCTTTTAATTGGTCTTTAAAGGTCTCTATACCGTCTAGATGGAACTGTTTGAAATATTTTGATATGTGCTTTACAGGCATAGAAAGGTTCTCATATTGCGTTTAACATGAGACGAAGACCTTGATTATGGAAACTGCGAACGAGGAAGGCAATAAGCACCCGCTAGTTTTCAAATTTACTTTGAACAATCTCTAGGGCGCCGATCTTAAATTGTCCTTGCAGCCGGATGCAATAAAATACAATTATAGCATATTCAAATATATTTTCAAGTTACTACCGCATTCGTGCACATAATTTTAAGGTAACTTTATTAGTTGGGTATCATCACATCACTTGCCAATATGTTCTGGCTATCAGTCTGTTTGATTATATTTGTATATGCGTTCTATACGACGGCACATATTCTAAGATATGCGATGCCGAGTTTAAAAATCTTGATAACAGCGGTACCATGACAACAGAAGTTGTTGCATCCATGGGTATCTAATGGCTGCTAATGGTCGATATTAATAGATTAGACAGACTTACACGACCTGATCACAGGCAACGCAATCAACAAATATTTGTTTCTAATGCCCCTTAGGGCTATCTGTGATGGATTCATTAGAGAGTATAGTATTATGTATATAAACAATATACCACGGCTCTCTATTTCGACTTACCCTAGGACCCCTATCCTACATAAAATAATAGTTGCTATTTTTAAGTGTTTCCGTCTAAATGGCGTAATCCTAACCCTCAATAAGTTCGGAGTTTCCCTTATTAGTACGTGCTTTCCTCGTGACACCGAAGAAACGTCAATTCCGTTTCGTACCATGAGAATTCAGCGAAGATGACAAACATATGCCAGATGTGGCATAAGTTGACAACACCGGCAGAGGGACACTCGTAAACATGGCGGATGCCAGCCCGGTAAAATGAACACCATGAGAACTTGTCGGAGGAGTCTCACAAAAGTCGAGTGAATACCGTCAGTGTGCCGTCGGTATAAGAGCAAAGACGACGTACAGCGTAATCACGATATTACGCCGCGCCTCGTAGCTGGAAAACCTATAACGGGTGAAAGATCGTTAGGTAGATCGTCGGTACACTGACAGACTCGCAAGTCAGATAGAACTGCTGCCATAATGGGTTCTGGTGAAATGCGTAGGTACCTGCGAAAATCAGGTTGTAGTACGGAAAAAAGGAGGGAAAATATTATGAGCATCCATTGTCATTTGCAGATGGTTTAACTGATTGCCTATCACAGACGACGATCAGCTGAAAATTAGGTAAAAAAAGAATGAATCGAAGCCTGCGTTTCAGTTGGTAACATTCAAAAATATGAGATATGCCATTTTCAAGAGATACTGCTAAGTAATTGAACAGTTAGTTATACCACCTAAAACAGTTGAAAACAGTTATGATCGTGACGCTGAGTAAAAGTTCAATGCCTTGAGCAGCAAATAATAAGCTTTTTCGTGTATGCACTTAAATGTGTGATACAGAGATGAAAGCAGTAGGGTCATACATCGCCGTTACAAGAACGCAGGTGAGACTCTGAAACACAACGGATAATTAGTAATGATTATAGGGGTTATTTTACGATACCCGGCTCACTCAGAACACCGCTGGAAGTTAGACATAGGAAACTCATAGCTATATTAGGGCATTTCAAGCTCGCGGAGGCATCTAAAAAATGGGTTACCAAATAGATACCTCTTTTCAGACAGCTCTTACATAGTCTGTGGGCTGATTTTGTATTATTTTAAAACTGATGGCTTAAATTGTGTTCTTCGCAATCTCATCTCCTTCGGTAAGTGAGCTGTTTTGGGCATAAACATTTAGTACTTTGTATACCTCTAAGTAAGGGACTTATTGTACTTCCTCAACAATGATACAGTAAAAAAACAGCTGGCTCTTGGCGAAGCGTCAATCAACGACAATTTTGGTATCTATATGCTCATGGTCTCGTTATGCCATTGCAAATATAGCTTGTAATTCATTCTCGTGGGCTACAGTGCACCAGCTAACTGAAATCAAAAAAAAAAAACAATACGAATTTATTTACAAGTAAGTACAGCATAATAGATTTGCTATGTGGTCGGCGCACTGGCCAACTGTTTACTCGCAATCATCATATCCAAAGCCACATTGTGCGAAGATTTTCGAAATCATTGTTCCACTGTCGTGAAAAATCTTCGAATTCGCGAATCTTCGAAAGCAATTTTCGAAGCTTTCGAAACTCTAATCAGTTTATCGTACTATTATATTTAAATGCGTTGAACTATTAGCTTGAAAACAAAGTCGAAGGAGTATTAGAATTCGGAATAATGCTGCGTCAGGCACAAAAGGCGACGTGCACTTACCTGCAACTAGCGGAGTCAGGAAACGCTCGTTAAATGCTTACAA